AGTATGATTTGATTGCTTATTAGTAACCCATGACTATCGCTAAGTGTTGCATCTTATGATTTTTGATGAATGTATTTTATTTTTTCTTTATGTACACTGAGAGCATATGCCAAAAACAAATTCCTTGTGTGTCCATTCACACTTGGTCAATAAAGAATTCTATTCTATTCTATTCTATTCTATTCTATTCTATTCTATTCTATTCTGTTCTATATTCTATTCTATTCTATTCTATTCTATTCTATTCTATTCTATTCTGTATTTTCTCTTCTATTCACTATTCTCTTCTATTACCTGTTCTAGTCTATTCCATTCCATTCTTCCCGATTCTATTCCAATCCATTCTTCATTCTATTCTATTCTATTCTATATTCTATTCTATTCTGTATTTTCTCTTCTATTTCCTATTCTCTTCTATTCCATTCCTTTCTTTTCTTATTTTATTCTATTCTATTCTACTCTCTACTCTACTTTGTTCTGCTCTGTTCTATTCTATTCCTTATTCTATTCTATATTCTATTCTATATTTTCTCTTCTATTCCCTATTCTCTTCTCTTCTGTTTCATTCCTTTCTTTCCTTATTCTATTCTATTCTATTCTATTCTATTCTATTCTATTCTATTCTATTCTATTCTATTCTAAACTTTTAAGAAGCGTGGGACTTCCACTCCCAGAATCCCCCCAGGCTTAGAGGCTGCTTTCACAGGCTGGGGCTTTGTATCTGTGGGGAGGTTTCTCATTCCATCCTGTCCTCCCTCCCCTCCCCCTTTGCAGGCAGGGATCGGGGCCTTCCTGGCCGCACTGAGTTCATGGTGGACCCTTCCTACGTTAACGTGCAAAACTTGGAAAAATTGCAGCCGGGCCTCCAGAACGCCACCTCCAACGGGAGCGTCCAGAGGGACCTTTTTGACATGAGTGAGTCGCGGAAGGGGGCGAGGGAGGGTCTGGCCGCCCCCTGCGCAGGTAGTCCTCGACTTGCAATGGTCCATTTAGTGACCGCCCGAAGTTATAAGTGCACTTATCTTCCAAAGGGCAGGCAAGGAATAAGGCATCGAAACCGATCAGGGAGAGATTCAACCTCGAAATAAAGGAGGAATTTTCTGACAGGGACAACAATCAACCCAGGGAACAGAAGTTGCCCTCAGAAGTTTTGGGAGCTTCCTCATTGGAGGCTTTCAAGACTGGACTGCCATCTGTCAGAAATGGTGTCGGGTCTCCTGCTTGGGCAGGGGGTTGGACTAGATGACCTACAAGGTCCCCTTCCAACTCTTCGTCATTCTGATTTTATGACTGTTTTCCACACTTAGGACTTTAGCAGCACCCCCGTGGTCACGCGATCCAAATTCAGACGACACTGGGCAACTGACTCGTATTTATGACGGTTGCAGTATCCCCCCCAGGGGGGGGGAGATCACGTTGATCCCCTTTTGCGACCGTCAGACCAGCCAAGTCAAGTGTAGGAACCAGATTCGTTTAATAACCCGTGTCGCTAACGTTAACGACAGCGGTGTTTCCACTTTTAACAACTGGGGCAGGAGAGGTTGTAAAACGAGAGAGAGAGAGAGAAAAAAAACCCACTGGTCTCACTTAGCGACAGAAATGTCAGGCTCCATTTTGGTCACAAGTCGAGAACTACCTGTAATAGACCGCTCCTAATGGCGGCTTTCATTCCCCCCCCCTTCCCCAGAGCCTTTTGAGGATGCCTTGCGGGCACCTCCCCCGCCCCCTACTCCTCCCTCCCACCCGCCAGCTACCATGGAGGAGCAACTCCGGCGAGAATCGTGGTACCACGGTCAGATGAGCCGCAAAGAATCGGAGAAGCTGTTGCAAGCCAACGGGGATTTCCTGGTGCGGGAAAGTACCACCACGCCGGGCCAGTATGTGCTCACCGGGTTGCAGGGTGGACACCCCAAGCACCTACTTCTCGTCGATCCGGAGGGAGTGGTAGGTGGGGGGTATTTTTTGGGGGGGGGAAAGAAGGGATTGTCCTGTTGAGGGGACCCCTGCCTGATGGAGAAAGAAAAGGGTGTGGGATATTGACCGCTGCCATTTCTCCGTCTAGAACTTCCTCTGTTTTGTCAGCAGATAAAATAGAAGGAAAAAAGAAAAAATGGTCAATTGAGGGAAGGAAAAAGAAAGGGGAGGGGAAGAAAACACAAGGGATTAAAGAAAAAAAAGGTGTTGACTCCCCACGCTTTTTAGCGCAGCACAAGATAACATTACAATCTCAACTTTTTTTATTTAGTTTACTTATTGTCACTGCACCTCGTGCCACAAAACCAAACACCCTCTTCGGTGCACATCGTGACCATGAAAATCAACACAAATACACATCCTTCACATTCTGTGCAACTGAGTTGAAAACCCCTGATACTGCTGTTAATATCGCACTACACAGTAGAATTCAACAGAGCTACTGCCCTGGAGTAGAAGCTGTTTTTCAGCCTATTTGTCCTTGTCTTTATCGTCCAGGTAATAGTTTAAAAAAAGGGTGCCCAGGATGAGATGGATCTTTGAGGATGTTTTGAACTTTCTTAAGGCAGCGGGAGCTCTAAAGCTCTTCCAAAGAGGGGAGAGGGCAACCCATGATCTTCTGGCCAATGATGTTAACCCTCTTGGAGCGCTTTCCTATCTGCCCCTGTGCAATTGTCAAACCACACACAGGTGCAGGAAGTTAAAATACTCTCTGGTGCAGCGGTAGAAGGTCACCAGCCGTTTTCCATTCAGTTGTTGTTTTCTGAGAAGTCTTCAGGTAGTATCATCTCTGCTGGGCCCTTTTGACCAGGTGCAATGTGAGCACCCCATGTCAGGTCCTCTTTTATGGTAACAAAAATTACCACAATGTTTTGTGCTGTGCTCACCACCCTCTGTAAAATGTCCTTCTATCCATGGCTGTCAAGCCAGCGTACCACACCTTCATGCAATCTGTGAGGACGCTTTCTATTGTGGAAATTTGTGTGTATATATATATATATGTTTCCCATCCAGGTTCGGACAAAGGATCATCGCTTTGAAAGCGTCAGCCATTTGATCAGCCACCACGTGGACAATCGGCTGCCTATCATCTCGGCCGGCAGCGAGTTGTGCCTACAGCAGCCCGTCGAGCGGAGACAGTGAGCTTGACAACCGGAGTCACATCACTACAAACGCCCTTCTAGCGGGGACTCCTTTCGTCTCTTTTTCTCCCCAGTCCTATGGACGTCTCCAACAGCTGCTAAAAACAGGCTGTCTCCTTTGCCAAAGCATTTTCTGGGGTCGAAGGGACTCGGATGAGCACCGAAACCCCATCATGCCCTCCCAGACCACCTCTCTCTACATCTTGCCACGGCCTGGCTTTCCCTGGTTGGGAGTGAAGCACCGCGTAGCCAACGTTCTAGTCCTCGGTGAGAGCGGTCCAGCCTCGGTTTTGTCGACGATGCTCAAGACAGAGCGTCCTTCTTGCCTTTGGACAACTTTTGTCTCCTCCACTTGACTGTTCAGAATGGACGGGCGATATTTCACGTGCCACGCAGCGCCTCGTTGTGTCTTCTGCCAGGCGCGACGGATGCCAAAGTCCCTGTGAAGGGTTTTATTTCGGGGAGGTTATTGCTCAGAAGCACAAAAAGGGGAAATAAAGGGCAATTCGTTTGGGTCTGGAAGGCAGAATCCTCTCTCTTTGCTGCCCACAGACCCCGCGCTCCCACATTTTTATATATGTTCTGTGTGCCTTGAAACCTTTTTCAGGTCAGATTTTTATGCAAAATTCCTCTTGCTCTGGAGATTCTCACAAGGCTGCCTGTTTTTTTTAAGGGGGAAGGGGGCTGCAGGATGGAGAAAGGGGCAGTCGTTTCTCACTCGCTTCCTTCTGGATCCGTCAGGGATGCCTCATAATTTATCCCCTTCCTTTTTCTCCCCACTTGCAAAAATCTAGGCTAAGCACCCCTCTCTGGATTAAGGGATGTTTTCCTGAATTTTGGGATAGTTTCCAAGATGGTTCCAAAACTAAAGCAAGCCCCCCACCCCCAAAAAAACCTGAAAAGAGAAGGGGGAAAAAATGGGTTTGTCTTCCAGCACTGAGGCTGGATCCCTTCCGAGTTTCTTCTTGGGGTCTGTACATAAGTTTTGATAATTTGGTGTTGCATGTCTATTGTTATACTCGGAGGCCATTGTGTAGCTTTACTCTCTATCACTGTGCCTGTCCCTGCCACTATGCAGGACGCCTGAGCCCACCTCGGCCCATGCTCTCCACATCCTTTATACACACTTTGTATTGGTTTGATTTTCTCTCGAATATACCAAAGGAAATCAAATAGTTATTATTAAAGGTTGGTATTTCTTTAGCCTGTGGCTGCTGGGTGCCTCTTTTTTTTCCTCTCTGGGGAAGGAGAAAGAGAAAGAAGGAAAGGAAGGAAAGGAAGAGAGAAGAGGAAGGAAAGAGGAGAAAAATATTAGAAGAACAGAAAGAAGGAAAGGAAGAGAGAAGGGGAAGGAAAGAGGAGAAAAAGATTAGAAGAACAGAAAGAAAGAAAGAAAGAAAGAAAAGAGAAGGAGGAGGGAAGGGATAAATGAGGGAGGAAAACGGATACAAGGAAGAAAGGAGAAGGGGAAAGGAGAGGGAGAAGAAGGGAAAGAAGGAGAAAACAAAGATGGGAATGAAAAAGAAGTAAAAAAAAAAGGAATGATGGGAGGAGAAACAATGGAAGAAAAAAGGGAAAGAAAAAAAGGGAAGGAAGGAAGCAAAAATAAGAAAAGGAAGGAAAGAAGAGAAAGAAAGGAGGAAGGAAGGAAGAAAGAAAGAACCAGACTCAAAATGGTTGAATCTATGTTTATTTATTCCTGCCATGAGCTTCAAACTCAGCAACGTCATCAACACTGGACACAAAACAGCGCCGGTGAGTGACGTCAGCGCCGCTCTTGACGCCCCATCCGCCTTCTAAAAGGCGGGTTTTCCTCTCGAACCATAGAGAGGCGGGAGGCCGGCGCCCAGAACAG